TCTCTTTTTTTTTTCTTTCCGCTTCTTTTTTTTTTTTTCCCTTTTTTTTTTTTTTTTTTGGCTTTTTCTTACAAAAATTAAGTTAAGAGGGGCGAGGGTTAGCGCAGGGGGCCCGGCTCGGCGGCAGGCATGGTGTGCAGGACCTCATCCAGCAGCTGCAGTGCGCGGTGGAGGTGCACCTCGATCCAGCACGGCGTGTGCTTGATGCTCTGCCGGGGATAGTCGGGCCCCCAGCCCTTGACAAAGCTCAGCCGCAGGATACACAACCGCCGCAGGTCGTCCACGCCGATCCCTGCCGCCGCCGAAAGCCCTGCCCAGGAGGGACACGGCCGTGGGTGGAGGATCCCCGTGGCCAAGGGGATCCCGTCCCCCTCACCGTTCCAGCCCCGGGGGGTCACTCACCCACGGCGGGCGCGATGCCTCCCACTGAGCCGGGACCCGGGATGTTGCCGGCCACGGCGGCAGCCTGAGCGGCGGCCGCAGCCTGGGCTGTGGGCCAGGGCTGTGGCCGCTTGCTGCTGCATCTGGCGGTGGCACTGGCGCAGGTCAAACACCTGGGGGGCAACGCAGGGGGACCCCTGAGCAGGGCGGCATCGGGGGGGCGGATGCCCCGGGGACCCCCTTCAGCATGGGCGTGGGGGTTCCTCCATCCCTGGAGCCTCACCATTGTCCCTCAGCACTGGGGACCCTTTGCCTGGGACCCCCTTTAACACGGACATGGGGCTCCCTCCATCCCTGGGGTCCCTCCATTGCCCCCCAGCATGGGTGACCTATTGCCCAGGACCCCCTTTGTTGTGGGCGTGGGGGTCCCTCCATCACTGGTCCCTCCATTCCCCCCCAGCATGGGGGACCCTTTGCCTGGGACCCCCTTTAACATGGGCACGGGGCTCCCTCCATCTCCGGCACCCCTCCCTCCTGGGGATGTGGGGTCCCCCTCTTTCCCCCCCGGGGACCCCCACCTTGATGTAGGCGCCGGGGTAGATCTTGTGCACGGCGTCCCCGGGGGCTCTCCCGGCCTCCCGGTCCAGGTAGTAGCTCTGCACGAAGACGGCGTGGTCGCTCAGGCACCGCATCCACACGTCGCCCTCGCCCCGACACTCCAGC